AAATATAGGCACATAGATCTAGTTCCCCATCCTCATATATAAATATATTTGCATATGTACATGTCTTTATCTAGACCTCTAGAAATGCCCTTTGCCTCCCAGCTCTTTCCTCTATTTCCTTGACTTTTATACATTTAATTTCCTTTGCTGGGACCACTCTTTAGATATCTAGCTGGTTTAGTTCCAGATTTCTCAGTTCTCTGTTCCACTATCACCTCATCAGAGAGGTCTCAGTCAAACACAGCCAGGAACTTGGTCGGGTCTTTCTGCTTACCGGTTGGTGCCTCAATTGGGGCTTGGCAGGTAGTATAATTTCAATGTCAGCTACGTCACCATTTGAATGACTAAGCGAAAACAATGGTGCAACGGACAGATGCCATAAAAAATGCAACGAAAAGAAAATGGAAGTTTCCCAGGAACATTTGGAAGCCCCCTCGTACATGAGTTTAAAAAATGAGTTTAAAAAAGGAGGGTCTAGAATTAGCTCAACTCCTTTGTGTGTTTGTTTTTCAACTTTAGGTGGATTAACCAGTATTTTGGCATGCTCCCTTCTTCATTATAAAAGTACATCTGATTCTTGTCTTAACAACCAAACAGAAGCACAACCTTTCTACTATTTTCTCTCTTATGCCAAGAGTTAAAATGTTATGACTATCAGTGTGGATTCGCTCCATATTTCCCCTCTTTAATCACAATACCACTTTGTAAATATGGAGCTGATAGTAAAAATGACTTCATATAAAAATGGAATACTCTGTGTTGCCATGAATTTATATTATGTTCTGTGCTTTTTGAACCCAAACGAAATGTAGGCTTACCTTAATTCAGCAACATCAGCTTTGTCCAGAGCATTTAGAGCTACAATTGCCTTGTCAAAAGCTGGAAGTACACTTTTAAGTTCAGTGCTCATTTTCTACAATAAAGAAATAAATTTCCAAATACATGTAATTGAATATAGTTGCTATGTAAACTTCTTATCTTTTAAACTTGGGAAATATAGTTTCACATTTGTACAGTGCTCTTAAGTTACGTATTTTGACTTAGACTTGTGCACAAATACTGATATTGTTGGAAATGTATATCCTAGTCCTAAATATGGTGTATTATGTAATTGCTGATGAAAAGTTATCTGTAGGAAGCAAACATGCTGAGTATCTTCTGCATTTTCTATTCGAATCAGTGTAGTATTGGCAATGCCCTTTTGAGAAGTGGTTCAGATCAAGGTGAAATTACGATGAAGCTAATGAAGCCTAAGTTTCAGGGCACTTCACTTGCACAGGTCCCTCTCCCAAGTTCCCCAAAGAAACCCTGGTGACACATTTGTAGAGCCGTATGTTTCCGGGGAGCTTGCAAAACCAAGACATTTTGAGTGTAATCAGTGAAGACCGCTTTTTCTTTGCTTTTTGACTTACGCTTTGTTCTACTACCTATCATGTCAGATGGATTGAAATGCTGAAATATTTTTGGGATCTGATTGAGGAGTAGAGTTGGGAATTATATGTTGTGCACAGTCACTTCCTGTATAATTAAGTTATTTTAAGTTACTTGGGATAGGAATGACTCTCAGAAACACACCTATTTTCCACTGTTAGAACTTTGCTGGTGAGGTGACGTTAAACTGCAGGAGCAGAGTGGCCCTATCCTATGAACTTGTCCTGTAGAATCCACTGCCAGGGTAGACTGGCATGGAGGAGAAACAAGGCCAGGGTAGACTGGCGTGGAGGAGAAACAAGGCCAGGGTAGACTGGCGTGGAGGAGAAACAAGGTTTGCAATGAATGCATCTGACAACTTTTCTGTGCAACATTTAAAAATTTTTTTGGATGAGAAAAAGAAAAGTAAGTAAATGGATAGATTCTCATCGACACCTACTTATAATGGAAGCTCACTCCTACAAGAACATAATTGAAAATGCAGAATTTGCCATTATAAAGCCACCATACATTTTTCTTTTTTTTTTTGATGAGTTGTGCAATATACAGTTCAACAAAATTCTTGAGTTTTTCAATAATGAATACTGTGTGTGGAAAAATGTTTTGAAATGTTTCAATGATATAATTTAGAAAGGACAGATTCTTCATATGTGAAAGGTACTGTATGTGACCATCTTTGTCTTTTTATTTATGAATACATTATTAATCTGATAAAAATTTAAGAAAAGTGAGTGATGAAAGCAAAAGAAATTATTATGATATCGAGAAGTAACTTACAATAAAAATTTCAGATCATACCAAAAGCAATTATATATCAAGAGAGAAAATAACTTTAGGATAGAAAAAATAACTATCTCATAATCCTTTACTGAAAAAGTATAAGTCATGATCACAGTGGAAAAAATTTAATTTCTTGTGGTTTTTGTAAGGAATAATGACATCAATGGGAATAGCCTAAAATTATATAAATACACCTCTATAATGAGAACATTGATATTAAACTAGTTAACAAATGCCAGTAGTTCAAAAAGTTTTTTAAATTAATCACTGCATGAGAAATCTTGAAATGTCATTTCTGCTTATGCCAGATTTTAAGCGAATACTAAAAATGTCCATGACATTATCTCTAATGAGTTATAAAGATTGGAAAAAAAACTTTCCGAACTATCAATAATAACACATTTTGACAATCCCCGGTAATGATTCTATAAATGAGAGATAATGATAAGTTATTTTATAAAATAGTAGTCATATGAAAAATCACTATCATATGAAGAGGTCATAAAGTGAGAAACATATGAGACAGGGACTATACGGTGTGTGACGCAATTAGTTATGAAGCAATATTATGCTGTTTTTTTGTATTCTGTGACATTTGTGATCATTGCCAATTAAAATTTTTTCTATTTTGTTATGATTTCTTTACTTAATCTAAATAAAAATTCATGTGCATATCTAATTTTGATTTAGTAATTTAGAGATCCAATTGTGTCCCCCCCAAATATATATTGAAATACTGGCTCACATACCTTTGTAATTTAATGATATGAGCGAATTAGTTGGCCAAAGGTAGAGCAGATGTTCTTCCCTAATGTTATCTAATGCAGCGTATTCAATCCATTGAGGTTATACCAGGTTAGCATGGATCCTAAACCTAATCACTTCTGAGTTGTCAGAAGACCAGAATGCACACAGACACAGGAAGAAGACAGACCCTATGGACAGGTAAGTCTGCACGTTAGGTATTCCAAGGCTTGCTAGCAACTATTAGAAGCTGAAGTAGATGAAGAGTGACTTCCTTCCAGAGAAACAGCCTGAATTTGGACTTCTAGCTTCTTAAACTATGAGAAAGTCTTATTTCTGCTCTTTAAAGCCACCCACTTGTGATATTTCTGTTACAGCAGCACTAAGTAGCTAAGATATCAATTTTATATTCTTTTGAAAAATGTGGCTTCAAAATTGGACACTAAAACTGGTGAAAGCAGGAACCTTTGTAAGGAAGACACTAGTCTGAAGAGAAACAGTTAAATATTTTCTACTAACTGAAAACAATAGAAGAGTGGTATGATGACATCTTTAAAAAGCAGAAAACTTGTGAGAGCTGGCCAAACAAAGAAGTCTCATGCAGTTGTAGTTCTTTTTGGTTTTATTGTATAAGTGTCTGGCCTTATAAAAATCTGAATTTATTTCTGAAAACAGGAAATAAAAGGTCATTCTTTGTGGTAGGGCAAAAATAACATTGATTCCTTGATAGCAATTTTCTTTTCTTTTTTTAAAATATAGGTTCAATTAAAGTACCTCTGTGTTTAATATATCGATTAGCAAGAACACCTCATTGTAGTTGGCATCCTGGAGGGGTGAGGACACTCCAAGTGCGATCCCTGGGGCATGTTGAGGGAGGAGTGGGGACTCTACCACTTGGAGGCCTGCTGACTTCCGGTATCCTCTGTTGTTTCTTAATGCTCACCACTACAGCCCCTGCAGTTTACTTATGTCCACATCAGGGGATTTACATGTGACATTAGATAGCTTTAAGTAACGAGCCCTTAAAACATGACTACCTAGCTTTAAAATATTTCTGTGAGAAACCTTGGATGGAAGATAATGTTAAAAATGCAAGTACAAATGAACAACAACAAAAAGGTAGGCGGAAACGTCTCTCATGTCTGTATGAACTCTCCTTCAGTCAAGTTATGAAGTAAAAATAATGATAAGGTAATCAGACCTCCTTAATAATCAGCCAAAATATTTCAAAATTACCAAGAAGCCAATTTGGAGCATGTATTCCAGCTCACTACTGGTTATACTGAATCTTTCCTTTAGGTATTAGCCAATGATAGTAGTTCATATATATATTGTGAATAAATAAGTGCTCATATGTTAGGCATACATAGATGGCCTTGACTCTAATTCATGTTGATTTTATGGACAATAAAACAAAATCTTGCTTGGTGTTGTGTCGTCCTCATAATCACCTGCATATTTGAGCCCATAGTGGCAGCTATTGTGCCAATCCCTTCCACTGAGGGGCTTCCCAATTATCCTTGACCCTCTATTTCACCAAACATGATGCCTCCCACCAGCGATTGATAACTGTTATGTCAAAAGCAAGTAAATTGGACTATATTTTAGATTGATGCATAAGGCTTTCACAGCATAATTTTTGGAATTAGATCACCAGGCCTTTCTTTCGAGTCTGTCTTAATCTGGATGCTTTGTTGACACCTTTACATCATGGGATAACCTAATCATATTTGAAATACCAGAGGTGCAGCTTTCAGCATCATAGCAATTGTACACCACCACAGCACGACCAATAGACAGACAAGTGGTAGATTTTGGGGTTGTTGCTGTCGGTGTTGAATCAATTCCCATCCAGTGGACAACAGAACAAAATACTGCCTGCTCCTGCACCATCTTCAAGATCGCGACGATGTCAGTCTTGTGTTGCAGCCACTGGGCGGTCCATCTGAGTAGTGTCTTTTGTGCTGACCAAACATAATGTCTTTCTCAAGGGATTAGTTCTTCCCTATAGCATGTCTCTGATGAGCAATCTGGATGTATTTCTTCCAAGACAGATTTATTAATTCTTCTGGAAGTCCATGGTATAGTCAATGTTCTTGTCAATACTATAATGCATATGAATTCATAATTCAATACTATAATGCATATGAATTCATAATTCAATGCATCAATTCTTTAAAAATCTTCCTTATAAATTTTATAGCCCATATGTCCGATACCAATATATGAAGTCCTCTTCAGACTCATGGAACACCTGCAACGATGTGGAATGCAGGACGATCACAGGCCAGTGGGTAGAAAGTCTTTGGATTCAGTGGCGTTGGAAGGATCCCAGTACTGGCAGGGGTCTCCACATGGTTACTCCAGCTTCCAGGGCTGCATCAGGGCAGGTCCATGTGGCTTCTCCTCAGGGAGTCAGCAAAGAGAGAAAGTGTCTCCTGTCTCCAAGGAGGAAAATACTGGATTTCCCAGAATTCTCAGGAGAAGGCCATACCCACACAGAGGCCTCATTGGCCATGACCCAATTGACAGACTAGACTCCACTCCTTCACTCTTAATCCTCTCAAGTCCCAAACTGACACTAGATTATGTAACTACCACATCCATCTACCATGATGTTGCTTATTGTCCTGCTATGAAGATTTTTGTTTTATTTGTACTAAGGTGGAATTCGTTAAGTGTTTCATGACCTCTTTGCTTTCAGTGAAAGGAGCTCTGATGCATAGTAGTCATGTGAAAGGTCAGCAGTTTGAAGCCATCAGCTGCTCTGTGGGAGAATGACAAGGCTTTTTACTCTTGTAAAGAGTTAGTCTTAGAAACTCACAAAGGCAGGTTTGCCCTGTCCAATAGGGTTGCTATGAATCAGAATTGACTTGATGGCAGTGGGTTTGTTTGTTTGTTTTTTATTTTGGGTGGATGTTTGCTTCCAGTAAGCAAGGTGGTGTCATTTACATATTG